ATTAAAATTTGGATTTTTGGCAACGTTTTTAGCAAGAACATTCAAATTTCGCTAGAATTTGCACCACATTTTGGTTTCTTAAAATTCGATTTTATGAAAAAAAAGGAAAATCCTTCGTCCAAGTCCTTGCCAATAGTATCACGAAGACGTGTGACAAATTTCATGAAAATCGGTTAAATAGTTTTSGAGAAATCTTGACAACCGWCTTTAGAAAATGCGTTWAAAGATTTGAGTGCTGGTATAAGAGCCATTAAAGAGTGCAACTTTCCAAAGCTCTATCTTTAAAACTACTACTCCTATCGACTTCAAAATTCAATACAATATTCTAGATGAGTTGCAGAATTTAAAAAAAAATTTTGTTGAAAGTCCCAAACCCATGTAACCCCTTAAAGGGTTATTGTTGATTCGTTATGTATTGTATAAACAAATGAAAAGAAAATTGGAATAATTATAATATCATTTAATTCACTTTTATTTACTTTACTGACGTTAAAACAACCCCTCCCCTCATCACCTTCACGGTTAACGTGAAACATTTTCATGTAAACGAGGTTTTAATAGAGGAAGCTGTGTTGTGTCCCAGTTCGCGGTGACTGGCCAACCTTAAAAGGGACTTTAAATTATCTTCTGACCAAAGAGAGAGAGTGAGAGAGAGAGAGAGAGAGTGAGTAGGATTCACTGACAAGTAGAAGCTTGTGCTGTTGTTACTTTCCTCGGTTATTTAAGCAACACAACAGAACAGAACAGAACAGAACACTGGGGATTGTTCACGATTTTCCGAGAGACGGGAAGCCGGGAAATCACTGGCATGTGAAATGACACCCCCATAATCCAGACGCCCTTTGGCGCCGGCCTCAACGTTTCCCTAGATGATATTTATTTAACGGGAAATACGATATTATTACCTATACTTCCTCTAAACTTCTATGTATTAGTTAACAACGATATATTAATGCCATACTAACACGTATCTTCAATTTGTTTTATGATTGAAAATAAAAATAAAATGAAAAAAATTATTCTGTTAGCAATAAGTCATTAATGATTTTATTTTTATGATTATGCAATTGAAATATCACGTGTCTCCATAGTTATGCTGCAGTTTCATACAAGAATGCATTTGTGTTATTATTAAGGAATAAATAAAAATAATTAAAACAGAAAGTATTTTATTAAAATATAAATTAATAAGAGAGAACTAAATACGATTATGTAATATAAATGATATTATAATATTAAAATTATATTTATAGGATGTATGTAATTTTAATTAAACATATATATATGTATGTGTGTGAGAGAATAAAATATAATTTAATATTCGGTGGAACGTGATTATGCGATTAATGATTTAATTAATACTTAATGTCATGTTCTTAACGAGAATTTTAACTGAAAATGTATTCGAAATTAATATTATGGTTAATGCACTCGAACCCTCATAAAATGTTAGAGTAATAAAGATAACATTATGATTAACAAGTTATAAAGTATTACAAAAATGTGAAAATGTGTTTGGTGATAATTAATAATATATAATTTAATATACCCACACACCACTGTTATGAATAGGATTATGTAATAAATTATATTATTAAGACTACGTTATACTCTGATTGTATGTAATTTTAATTGGAGATATATTATCAGATTAAAAATGAAAATATAAAACAAATAAATAAAATATAATTCTGTTAGAATAAGAGAGAGAGAGAGAGAGAGAGAATAGAAATGTGATTTAATAATTTCACCCCAAAACATGGAATACAATTTAATTTAATATTACTTTAATGATTATGCACGATTATCTTATAAATTAATTTATTCATTTATCGGGAAAAGTAAATGTGTGTGCATAAATTATTTGGGTATATTATACGTCGATATAAGCACTATTATTATTATTATTAATATTATTCGTTGTTCGTGTAAGCAGAGAAAAATAATGGGATATTATTTGTATTAAAAGATTGCGTGATTTGTGATGCGAAATTCGTTTAGAAAAATCCTAAATTTTAAAACTCTCGTTGGTAAGTGAGATTATTAGGTTGAATTTCAGGAATAGGATTTAACAAAAAAAAAAAAAATGATGAAGAGAACCACCGGAAGGAAGGTTTCTTTCGCGATATGCTCTTCAACCCAGATTCGTGATTCTTTTAATTACAACCCGTTTCCGGTGTTGAAGATTTTAAAAAGATCAAAGAAAAAACAAGAAAAAGAAATTCTTTGTAAGTAACAGATTCGGCTGTTTCACAATTCAAATGAAATCTACATAAAGTTTCGATCATTTATAATTAAAAACACAAAATTTATCTTGAAAATAATTAATTATGAAATTAATAAATCATACAAAAACAAATAATGTACGTGTCGATTAATTAATTCGCACGATCGTTAATTATGACAAAAAAAAATTCACGTTTATCAGCTGATAAGGTAAAAAAAATAATTAGAAATAATTTTTTAATGATGAAATTTAACAGGGAACTTGGACGTGAAAGAAGTAGAACTATGTTTGATTTAGTTGGACGTTTCGTCCCTTTATTGGGACTTCTTCAGCAACT